GACAGAGACAGAGAGCAAAAAAATTGTTTCCCACCTGATTTACTCATGTCCTGTAGGAAAGAAAATCTGCCATTCTTGCCTGGTCTGGCCGACATGTGACTCCAGATCCACAGCAATATGGTTGACTCTTAGCTGCCCTCTGAAATGACTTAGCAAGACACTCAATTCAAGGGCAAATTAGGGATGGACAATAAATGCCGGCCTTGTGAATGATGCCTGCATCCCCAAGAAAAAAAAAACCCAGAAGTTCAGGTTAGAGGAGCCATATTCAGTAAATGCATGGGGCATGTCGCCAATGCTCTACTTCAGTGAAATACTCGAGTAGAAACTAATACCAGGCAGAATGATGGCAAAAAAGCACAATAAGATTTGTCTCCTAGAAAAGGGACAGTGGGAAATTAGCAATGCAAAAACATCTCTGACATGAATCCACCTGACATTAGTCAAAAATTATTTTAGGCAGATTGAGCAATTCTCCGTCATGATACATGGTACCAAACAGTAGCACTGAAGCAGAAACTTCATCAACATGTATGAAAAGTTAACTACTGTACTGTCCATGTGGAGACTCGATGCCAACGAGAATCAGTTGGGCCAAACATAGGTCTGTTGCTTATAGCCTTTGAAAAGCTGGTGGTAAGCTGTCTTCTTGGATTGCTGCAGTCCAGGTACTATAGATACACTCTCAATTCTGTTGGGGATGGAGTTCCAGGTTTTTCACATCCTGGATCACCCAGAAAAACAGTGATATACTTCCACGTCAAGATGGTTACAGCTTAGAGGGGAACTTGCAAAGGTTGCAAGGTTTGGAAGATGTTGTCGAAGCAGGTTTGGCGAGTTGTTACAGTACAGAATAAACTAGTTGGACTTCTGAATTGTTTTTGTGCCCTGATTATCTTGGTGCCTCTGACTGTCACTTTATTGATCTGGCAGTATAATTATTTGCTCTGATATTTCCCAATATCAAATCCACCAACTGGTTAGCATATGTAACAGAGTTACATCACAGGAAGAATTCTCCAGCCTAATTCTCAGAAGTGATCTGTAGTGTTCTAATTCAGTTAAAGAACAAACCAGACAGGAACCATCTCACACGAGAAAAGGATTTAGACACCATTTCAAACACAGAACACAAGAGATCAAATAAAATACAAATCAATGTACGTATTCAATAGAACAACAGATCATAAGGATAGAGTAGAACTTCAAGAGGATGTGGACACGTTGGCAGAATTCATTGACAAGTGGCAAATGAAATTTAATGTGAAATCATTCATTTTAGTGGGAAGAATGCAAAGAGATAATGCAAAATAAAAGTACAATTCTAAAGGTAACGCAGAAGGGAAGGGGCCTGCTTGTAAATGTGAACAGTCACTGAAGGTGGCAAGAGTGTTCTTAATAAAACATACTTTGTTAGTAGGGCCATCCTCAGCTTTATTAATAGGACTAGAGTACAAAAGCAATGCAGTTTTGGATAACATTTATAAAAATATTTCAACTTCAACTGGATTAGTGTTCCCAGTTTTGGCTATCACTGTTTGGAAAGAACACACAGGTAGTAAAGAGGGTGCAGAAAAGATTGAGAATTGTTTCTGAAAAAGTATTTTCGTTATGTAGAAAGATTACAGGGGTTGGGACTGTCCTCTAAAGAGGAGAAAAGGTTGGGAGGAGATTGGGTAGATGTATTCAAACCATGAGATATGTGGACAGAAATTTGGTGGAAGGATTGAGAATCAGATGGCACAGATTCGAGGTAATTGGCAAAGAAGCAACGGTGACACGAGGGAAATGTTATCACACAGTGAGTGGCTACAGACTGGAGTTGCACTGCCAACAAAGAGTGGTGGAGGCTGGTTCAATCAAGGCATTCAAAAAAGAAATGGATTATCTGAAAAGGAAACAATTGTAGGGCTAATGGAGAAAAGATGGGAAGTGGCATTAGGTGATTCGCTCCTGCCAAGGAACAATGACATGATATCACTGACACGATAGGCTTCTGTGTGCCTCAGCCATTTCATGATTTTATATTTCCACTGGTGTTCACATTTACAGTATTTACATACTGAAGAAAGTAAGAATGAGATAGGCCATCACATCCTTTATGGATCAAGTTGAACAGTGTCGCTACTCCTCAGGATTAGGTCTCGAGGCAGTTCACAGCAGAGTCTTAGGTTCTCCATTTCCAGCTACTCACCAACACAGAGCCAAAGTAGGAATCTTCCATCTACGGTCAACAACCAGTGCTCAATGTGGAAGTTTCCACTGTGACACTCTCTGCCATTCGACTTCTGAACAAAACCCACAAATTATTTCTTTCCCCTCTTTGTCTCTCGGTCTACACACCACGTCCTTCCTCCCACCCCGACAAACCCGTGAAGCAAAACGGGAGTAGAAAATTACATGTCTCCATTTCCTCAGAACAGGACAGCCCAGTCAGTCAGCTTGCGTTTCTGCCCTTACTGGAAATAGTTTACTCTAGAAAAGTTTCACACAGGTGCTGCAGACACTGCCAGTAAGCAGTGTTCAAAGCCCAGAGATCGAGATCACACAAACCGTACACAAAGTTCCACATAAGGCTTCATGGATTCTGTCAGGGTCCTCAAACTCAGATTAAAGATGCTTCCTAGTGCAGCGGTCCCAGAGAACACAAGTGTACTGAGCCTGTTTTGCCCTGGTTAGGCTCCAACTTACGAATCCACAATGTATTTGTCAGATTTCCAACAACACGCCTTTAGTCACGCCTGGACTGAAAGAGAAAGAAAAAAAAAAAAAATCCCCCTTCTTCTCTGGCTGGAGACTTTTTAAAATTGTCAGCATGGAGAGATTTCACATGCAGGTTTATAGTACATGTCGTCGACAGACTGTTCTAAACAGAAAAGGACAACCCATTTCCCAATCTTGTATTAGTCATACAAATACTAAATTCACTTCAGATTGGAGTGTTGAGGATATTTAAAGGGAGACGGGTAAAGATTGTCACAACCTATAACAGTGCATTGTGGCATTCACTATTTTGAACAAACACTGTTCTGACTGTTCCCCAGATCCCTGAATCTTACAGGATACAAGGAGTCCATTTCACCTTGTTCCTGCCTCTGAATCCCACATCTCTGCTTTTTTTTGTTTATAACTCTGTAAAATTCCTTGTTTTCAAGCAACTCTCCAACTCCCTTCCAAAATGGTTGATGGTATCAGCTTCCAATGTCTTATCGGGTCAAGCGTTTCAAATCTGAACAACTCTGACTGAAATCAAATTCTCATCTCCCCAAACAATCTCCACGCAATGATTTAAAAATCACTGGCCTCTTGACTCATTAGCTAGAGGGAATAGCTTTATTCTCTCTTTACCAAAGCTCTCATCATGTTGGAATTAGGTCACCCGTTAACCCTCCAGTTCTAAAGAGAACAGTCCTAATTTTTCCATCCTGTTTTCCCAACTGAAGTCCCTCATACTTGGTGAGAAATATATTGAACGTGACAGGGCAGATTGAGAAAGCAGTTACTAAACACACGGGTTCCCAGCCTTTATAAACAACTGCACAAAGTATGAACACAAGCAAACAATAACGATCATGTGAGAACCCCTGGCTTGGCCTCAACCGGAATACTGTGCCCAATTCCAGCCCCTACAATTTGGAAAGGTTGTGAAGGCATCAGAGAAAGAGGTGGCAAAAATGATTCACAAACATGGTTCCAAAAGTGAGGAACCAAAAGTTGCTTGATAAGATTGGAAAAACAGGGAACATTTCCTCAGCAGACAGAAGATTAGCAGGAAATTTTATTGAGGGTTCCAAATCCTGGCCTATACATGGTAGATAGGGAGAAACTGTTCTCAATGTGTCAAACTTCAGAGGACACTGACATTGGTGCATGTATGGAATGAGCTGCCAGGTGAAGTGGTGGAGGCGGGTACAATTACAACATTTAAAAGGCATCTGGATGGGTATATGAATAGGAAGGGTTTAGAGGGATATGGGCCAAATGTGACTAGATTTATTTAGGACATCTGGTCAGCATGGCTGATTTGGACTGAGGGGCCTGTTTCTGTGCTGTACAATATTATGACTCAAAGTGATTGGCAAAAGAAGCAACAGCAAAAGAGGGAAAAGTTTATTTCAGGGATTTGGATAATTATCTGGAGACAAACAAAACAAATTGCAGGCTATAATCATTACAGCGGATTATGACTAGGTGTGTTGCACATGCAAAGAGCAGGCATGGCTATAATGGGCTGAAGGACCTCCTTCTGTGCTATTATCATTCTGTGATTCTATCTCAATAAATCTCTGGCTTCCTTCCTAAGATCTTCAAATCTTCCCTGAACTGTTCTTGGTATTCCATCTGAAGTTCCTTATGACAAAATAATTTAAAAGAGCAGTCTCAGACAGGTTTCCTCTCCATATGACAGAGTTGCAGCATCCGCTTCTCATATTTGACTGTCAGCCAATTAGAAATCAAAAGTAATTCAAAAAAGATTTTGAATTTCATTGGACTAGTGCACACACACATGTAAAAATCACAATTCTTCATATTCCTGACCATAGTTTGACACTTGCTCCTCATTAGACAAATCAAGACTAAACTCAAACAGAGGATTCTGGCAAGATATTCACATTCGTTCGTCACCGTGACATCAGAACAGCTGTTGCGCAAGTTTAAGTTTTTTAAAAAAAGCTCAATCCTGCTTGGAGTATTCATTGTAGTAGGTGTCTGACAGTGAAAAAGTTTTAAAAAAAGAGCTCTTGCCATTGAGCTCAACAAAGGCAGGTGTTCTTCATAAATACGGAGAAGTTATACTGCAAAACAGAGCGATTTTGTAAGGATCACATACCATCTTAAATTACCCCACACCATACAGTTCATACCCATGAAAAATGATTGCACTGCAATTCGTTGAGGAACAGCGAGTTTCCACAGGCAACACCGCAAAGCCAAACTTGTAGCTTAGCAAATTTAAAGAGACTGCAGAGACTATACCAAAGCTATTAACGGGTACTCACAGTCATCAGCTCTTTCTGAAAGGACTTCTTTTCCTTGTTCTCAGTGTCATTGCAGTCCTCCTTGAGCTTTTCCAGGACAGATGCCACACGTTCTGGCTCACTGTCTATCTCTGTCCTGCAAAAGTGGACAAGTGGTATGTTTTTGTAACCCAGGGCATCTGCAAATGCTCTCCAGCTGCTGATATTTTCCATCAGTATCATTCTTACAGAGGCATAAATGTAGGTGAGGAACTTGCTGGGTCGCAGAATCTGGTCCAAGAGTGCCGAGGTTGTGAGATCAGGCCCAGCGAAGAAGCTTGGCTTAATTTTTCCAACCACCAGCACGTTCTTGGCATGCACCAGGCCAATCTTCCCTTGGTAGTAGCCCATGTACCATTCCTTTGTTCGCAGCTGTCCTCTAAACTTAACCTTCTCTTCGCTCAACAACGCAATCACATCTCCCTTTTTGTACTCCAAGAGATAATAGTTTTTGTTCTGCCTTACGACAGTCTTCAGCAGTTTGCCATACTTGAGATTGTTTACACGGCGGTCCTGAAAGATGGGGTATTTACTCGTGACAGCCAAGGGTGACAGAACAATTTTGCCGACTTCTTTCTTCTTCAGAAACCTCCTCTGCCCGCTGTTCCGGGTCCCGGACTTTGGAGGCGGCTGCGGTGTCCTCACGCAGAACTGCGTGATCATTGCCTCCTGGTCGTTCTTCACCTGGATCCTCAACGTGAAGTCCGAGAGCTCTTCGGGGAGCCGCGAGTGGATGGGGAAAATGAGGCGGCTGACCTTCCCAAGCCTCACCTGGAATCCACGGACGACCTTAACCTGGTCGGCAGCTTTTACCTCGTAGTTGGAAATATTGGGGTGGATGCTGATTCTCAGGTCCTGTGGCCTGGCTAGCACAAACTGGTGCTTGCCCCATAGCTGTAGTGCCACCGGGGGTGCACTCAAAACCTCTCGGCCTACTTCATTGACCAGCAATGACTTTGGTGCACTGTTATGCCCAAAAACAGCTACCACCGCCTTGAAGGAGGGGTGGATGTGCTTAGGTCCATAAACCCCGACTGTGATGTTTTTGTTGATGCAATCCCACACCGTGTCGGGGTACTGCAGCGTCTTGGCCTGAGATACCACAACAGCATACATGCAAGGCTCCAGACTGTCCAGCTGCACCTGCACTGTATCGCCGTAGTGATAAACCTGAGGCATGGGTGAGAACGGCCCGTCTTTGCTGTCGCTGAACAGGCAGGTTATCACCGCATCCTTCCTGCTCGCCACATCATCTTTTAGCTCAGCAGAAATTTTCATTTCCAAGGTGAGGAATGTTTTCACTTCCATGTTACTTAATTTTATCTCAACCACAGGGCTAATGGTTGTGCATTTATCATTGTTCAATTCCACAGGAGGGTCCAATAAGGCTTTCATAGAGATCTGCTGGCTTTCTCCAGGAAGAACATGCCCTTCTGGTACATGAATAGTGATATTGGTGTCTGGTAGTTGAACTGCCCCACCGCTGCTATCCAGTTTACATGCGATATTAGTCTCCACAGGTTGAGTCTGACCCCAGCCAGGGTTTTGTCCAAGAGAATTTAAATCATGGCAAGAGCGTGCCATTTTCCTGTGGTTAAGCCATGCTGTACGAAAGTCCTCCCTGCTCTTGAACTGTTCAGGATCTGGAGACTGCATCCCCGTGAAGAAACCAGATGAAGAAGCTCCTTCAGACCTGGCTTGCAAGACTGAAAGCTCGGACATACTGTATGATCGCTTGCTTCTGAAGAAGGGATTGTTCCTATTTAGGAGCGGATCAAACTCTGCCTTGGAGCTGGTTAACAGGTCTTCCTCAAAAACATCATTACTTGAGTTGTTAGCTGTTAATGGTTTGGAACTGGTAAAAGATGGCGTTATAGAGTCAAACGAAAGTAAATCCACTTCTGATTTTGCTGCCTGTTGATTGCTGGAACTGACGCTCGGTCTGTTTCCATCTAGAAATGGATTGGAGGATGCCAAACTATTCAAAAATGGATTGTTATGTTGGGGCCTCGAAGTCATTTTGTCAAAGATGTCTCCCCACTCTCCAAGTAAGTCCATCTCTTTGGCGCCTTCGTCAGAACTGTCCCCAATGTTGTCCACCATTCCACTGTCTCGAAGGGAGGAACTCCTGCCCACAGGTTGAACATATGAAGCTGGAATGTAACCCATTTCAGTATTGTTGTGGGCATACCACCATTCAGGTCCAGAGGTGTCCAAAACATACAGAATATCCCCCTTGTTAAACTTAAGTGTGGTAAAATTAGTGGGGCAGTAATCCTTGATAGCCACAACTTCACGAGCATCTCCAAAAGATGTAGATGAATCCAACCTCAAGGCACTAGGAGAAGGCCCTGCAAATTTAGAAAAAAGAAACAATTAAAAGCGAGGGTACTCAAGCAGCAAGATTATATCTTTTGACATTAGCATTCTGTTTAACCGTTTCAAGCAAACAAAATGCCCGAATTTAACAACAGCTCTAAAAGAAAAAAATATACCCGATACATCAAAACTCTTGCAAACTGATAAATGCAGTGCTACCTACAAATACAATAAATGGTATATGACAGGTAAAAGCCATTCAGCCTATCGTAACTGCAAATATTTCAAAGAGCTGAACCAAAGGCAAATATAAATACACGAGCACATGAACAAAAAAAAAAAAAAAAAAGAGTAGGACACTCGGTCCTTTAAGCTTGCTTTGCATTCAATAAGATCATGGCTGATCTGATTTTAACCTTAACTCTACATTCCTGCATACCCATAATAATTTTAATCGCCTTGGCAATAAAGAATCTATTTAACACTGCCTTACCCTTTTGAGGAAGGGAATTCCAAAGACTCTCAATCCTCCAAGAGAAAATGGTTCTTCCATACCTTAAATGGGTGACCCCTTACGTTTAAGCTATGAACCACAGTTCTAGATACTCTCACATAAGGAAACATCCTTTCAACACCCACCAGGTCAAGTTCCCTCAGGATCTTATATGTTTCAATTAAGTCACTTCCGACTCTTCTAAACTCCATGTGATACCGGCTAAGCCTCTCTAGCCTTTCCTTATAAAGCAATCCAGTCATTCCAGGTATTTGTCTCGTAAACCTCTGAACTGCATTTGCATCCTTCTCTAAGCACGGTGACCATTATACCCACTTCTCCAGATGCAGTCTCACGAATGCCTTGTATGACTGAAGAATAACCTTCCTACTTTTGCATTCTATTCCCTTCACGATAAAGCATTCTATTAGCTTTCTTCATTACTTGCTGTACCTAGGACTAGGACACCCAGATCTCTTTGCATCTCAGAGCTCTGCAACCTCTCATCATCATTAGATAACCTGCATTTTCTTTTGTTCAGCCAACATTGACAATTTCACAAGTTCCCACATTATACTCCATTTGCTACATCTTTGCCTGCTCAATTAATCTAATTTCCTTTGTAGGTTTCTTATGTCTTCGTTGCAATTCACTTTCTTACATACCTTTGTGTCATCAGGAAATTTAGCTACCATACCTTCGGTCCCTTCAGTCCCTTCATTCAAGTCATTTATTTGACTTGTGAAGAGCTGAAGTCTTAGCATAGACCCCCGTAGCAAACCACTCATGACATCTTGCCAGCATGAAAAAAAATACCCGCTTACTCCTATTCTCTGCTTCCTGTTAGCCAGCCAATCATCTTTCCATACCAAGATGTTCTGCCCAATACTGTGAGCTTTTAATTTCTATAACAACCTTTGATGTGGCACTTTATCAAATGCCTTCTAGAAATCTAAATAGTATACATTCACTGGTTTCCCTTTATCTACAGCACACATTGCTTCTTCAAAGGACTCCAATAAATTTGTTGTACATGATTTCCCTTCAACAAACCCATGGTGATTCCCTTGAACTTGGCCCAGTGCATTGTTATAATGTCTTCAATAATAGCTTCTAACAGTTTCCCTATGACGAATGTTAAGCTAACTGGCCTGTAGCTTCCTGCTTTCTGCATTCCTTCCTTTTTCAATAAAGGAGTTACATTAGCTGTAAGGAACATTACTGAATTTAATGAGTTTTGAAAAATTAAAAACAATACATCAAATATCTCATCAACTACTTCTTTTAAGACTCCAGGATGAAATCCTTCATGACCTGGGGACTTATCCACGAGCAGTTCCAACAATTTACTCGGTACCACTTCACTGATAATTGTAATCTTGTTGAGTCACCCCCATTTTAATTCCGGATTTACAGCTTTTTCCAGGATGTCACATGTATCCTGTCTTGTGAAGGCCAACACAAAACATCTGTTCAATTCAGCTACCATCCCTTTATCCTTCATTACTAATTCCCTAGGCTCATCTTCTGTAGGATTAACACCTAGTTCATTAACTTTCCTTTTACTTAACTATTTGAAGAAACCTCTCCTGTTTTTATCTTTTTGGCCAAATTTTTCATGTAATCTAATTTTTCCCTCCTTATTAATCTTCCAGTAATTATTTGTTGTCTTTTATATTCTGTCCAATCACTGATCTGCCACTTATCTTTGCATAATTATATGTCTTTTAAGTTTGATACTACCTTTGACTTTGTTAGTTAACCACAGATGGCAGGTCTGTCCCCTAGACTTTTATTTGTTGGAAAGTATTCTGCGCTTGCTGGTCTATCCCCTCAAAAATTTGCCACTGCATGTTGATTGACCTATCTCTTGACAATTCACTTTCACCAGCTCTGTAGTCATGCCCACATAATTGCCCTTGTTCAAATTCAACATAGTAATCTTGGACTCTCACTTCCTTTTCTTAAATTGTATGTAAAAGTCAACCATATCGCGGTCGCTGCTACCCAGGAGTGCTTTCACTACAAAGTCAATAATTAATCCGATTGGTCAAAATCAGATATAGTATTGGCCGCTCGTCTATGGATAGTTATATGTCTGCCAAGCAAACCAGTATTATGTTGTACATATTGACAACGCTTGGAAGTGAGCAACATTTTGGATAGCCAATACAGTCATGTGCACTTTGAATGCTGCAACACAAGTTTGACACTGTGCAGACGTGACATTTCATGGATCCACAGAGTACTTTGTCAGAGAGCAACTGAATTTATATGCTCAGTCATATTTTGGCTGTAGCAGTCTTCTGTTAAAAAGAAAACACAAGCTGGAATTAAAAGTTCAATATAGCCAAATACTTCGGAGTTCTGATCAATCGTCATGATGATAGTATCTCTTCTCTTTTGGTACTGTGCTGTAACTAATTTGCTATTTCTGTCCAAGTGACAACTATGCAGATCAACGAGTGACATCACCTTCGCTGATACTGAAGACTGCCACACGAGAAATACAAGAATGGGATTTTATTCAAATCAGGCAAGAAAAACATCCAAATTTCATGTGTGTACAAATGAGCAACTTTGAATACAAAGTTAGGTGTACTGCAGATGCTCTCCTCCATCATGGCGGTTCTTTTTCTGAAATGTCTGCCTCTATTACTGAGATTACTGAAATTCACATGAGATTGACTGGTAGTCAACAACCCCGTTATGTGGTATCACACAACTACCAAGATGATCAAGATGTGGAGGTGCCGGTGTTGGACTGGGGTGGACAAAGTCAGAAGTTACACAACACCAGGTTACAGTCCAACAGGTTTATTTGGAATCACACAAGCTTTCGGAGCACAGACACTGCATCCGAAGGGGCTGCGTTCTGAAAGCTTGTGTGATTCCAAATAACCCTATTGGGCAGGACAAGCAGGATTGACCTTGGTCCGTTTTTGCTCAGCATTTCTCAAGTCTTAGTAAGTGTGCTACACAAACCACAGAAAGCTTACTGAAATATGGGAAAGAGTCCTGCGCCTTCTTTCCCTCGCATGAGTAATTAGACAGCTTGCTAAAGTTGTCTTTCATATTCTGTCAACTTCCAACACTGACTGAAAGGAGCAAGTCTGCTGAACTTACAACTGAGACACCGGGTGACTGTAACTGATTTAGTTTGAAGGGAGGAAAAGTCTAAGGAGGGAGATTTTAGATCATCGAACAGAAACACTCCTTCCAAATCAATGATGATAAGTTTGATTCTGGAACTTAACAACAGTACACAATAGCTGTCAAACCAAGTTTCCTCATGAATTCACCCAACAGAAAACAGCAAAGATCTTGATTTTTACAACACAGGCTTTAATGTTTGCAATAAATTTACACTCCTCTGAATACAGAAAATTAAGGGGCGAGCTCACTGAAATGGTTAAGGTGGTTGAAAGTTTGGATAGGGTATGGGGCTACCAAAACAAGGGATCAGAACTTTAAATTTAGAGCCAAGCCTCTCAGGGACAATGACAGACAAGGAGGAGCGGACATAATTCTTTAAAGTTTGCGTCACATAAAGACAGAATGGTTAAGGCGGCGTTTGGCACGCTTGCCTTCATTGCTTAGTCCTTTGAGTATAGGAGTTGGCACATAGTGTTGAGGTTGTACAGGACATTGGTGAGGCCCCTTCTGGAATACTGTGTCCAGTTCTGGTTGCCCAGTTTTAGGAAGGATATTATCAAGCTGGAGAGGGTTCAGAAGAGATTTACCAAAATGCTGCTGGGTGTGGAAGGTTTGTGTTATAAGGAAAGGCTAGATAGGCTGGGACATTTCTCCACTGAAGCGTAGGAGGTTGAGAGGTGACCTGATAGAAATTTATAAAATAACGACAGCTATAGACACGGTTGATGGGAGTTGTCTTTTCCCTAAGATGGGGAACTTCAAGACCGGAGAGAGATTTAAAGAAGACATAAGATGCAAATCTTTTTATACAGAGGGTGGTTCGCGTGTGGAATGAACTTCTTGAGGAAGTGGTGAACGTGGGCACAATTGCAACGTTTTAAAAGACATTTGGATGGAGATATGAATAGGAAAGGTTTGGAGGGATATGGGCCAGGATCAGGCAGGTGGGACTAGTTTAGTTTGGGATTATGTTCAGCATGGACTGGTTGGACCGAAGGGTCCGTTTCCATGCTGTATGACTCTATGAAATCTGATGAATCTGGCAGTCAATTGCCAAATTCAAAACGGACAGTGATAGAGACAACAAGGTGCAGGGCTGGATGAACACAGCAGGCCAAGCAGCATCATACGAGCAGAGAGGCTGACGTTTCGGGCCTAGACCCTTCATCAGAAAAGGGGGAGGGGAAGGGGGTTCTGAAATAAATAGGGAGAGAGTGGGAGGCGGATAGAAGATGGATACAGGAGAGGATAGGTGGAGCGGAAACAAACAGGTCGAAGAGGCGGGGATGGGGCCAGTAAAGGTGAGTGTAGGTGGGGAGTTAGGGAAGGGATAGGTCAGTCCAGTGAGGACAGACAGGTCAAAGGGGCGGGATGAGGTTAGTCGGTAGGAGATGGAGGTGCGGCTTGAGGTGGGAGGAGGGGATAGGTGGGAGGCAGGGACGAGCTGGGCTGGTTTTGGGTTGCGGTATGGGGAGGGGAGATTTTGAAGCTTGTGAAATCCACATCTCAATTGTCCTCGTTTTTCAAGGACCGTAACTTCCCCCCCTCAGTGGTCGAGAACGCCCTCAACCGTGTCTCCCACATCTCCCGCAACTCATCCCTCACACCCCGTCCAAGCAGTAAGAACCAAAAAAGAATCCCCCTCGTCCTCACGTATCACCCCACCAACCTCCGGATCCAACGCATCATCCTCCGACACTTCCGCCATCTGCAATCCGACCCCACCACCAAAGACATCTTTCCCTCCCCACCCTTATCTGCTTTCCGGAGGGACCACTCTCTCCGTGACTCCCTTGTCTGCTCCACACTCCCCTCCAGCTCCACCACACCCGGCACTTTTCCCTGCAACCGCAGGAAGTGCTACACCTGCCCCCATACCTCCTCCCTCACCCCCATCCCAGGCCCCAAGAAGACTTTCCACATCAAGCAGATGTTCACCTGCACATCTGCCAATGTGGTATACTGCATCCGCTGTACCCGGTGTGGCTTCCTCTACATCGGGGAAACCAAGCGGAGGCTCGGGGACCACTTTGCAGAACACCTACGCTCGGTTTGCAATAAACAACTGCACCTCCCAGTCGCGAACCATTTCAACTCCCCCTCCCATTCCTCAGATGACATGTCCATCCTGGGCCTCCTGCAGTGCCACAACGGTGCCACCCGAAGGTTGCAGGAACAGCAACTCATATTCCGCTTGGGAACCCTGCAGCCCAATGGTATCAATGTGGATTTCACAAGTTTCAAAATCTCCCCTCCCCCTACCGCATCCCAAAACCAGTCCAGCTCGTCCCTGCCTCCCTAACCTGTTCTTCCTCCCACCTATCCCCTCCTCCCACCTCAAGCCGCACCTCCATCTCCTACCGACTAACCTCATCCCACCCCCTTGACCTGTCCGTCCTCCCTGGACTGACCTATCCCCTTCCTAACTTCCCACCTACACTCACCTTTACTGGCCCCATCCCCGCCTCTTCGACCTGTTTGTTTCCTCTCCACCTATCCATCTTCTATCCGCCTCCCACTCTCTCCCTATTTATTTCAGAACCCCCTTCCCCTCCCCCTTTTCTGATGAAGGGTCTAGGCCCGAAACGTCAGCCTCTCTGCTCGTATGATGCTGCTTGGCCTGCTGTGTTCATCCAGCCCTGCACCTTGTTGTCTCGGATTCTCCAGCATCTGCAGTTCCTACTATCTCTGGACAGTGATAGATTTTTGTTAGGTAACAGTACAAAAAGTGTTACAAAATCAAAGCAGGTAGATGGAGTTAAAACATAGATCAGCTACGATCAAATTAAATGGTTCGCAATAAGTTCGGAGTGCTGAATGGACTCTTTCTATTACTGGAGCCCGAAGAAAGTATGCTGCTTGGTGAGCTATTCAAAGCCACTGCCACAGTACAAGGAGTAAAATTTGCCATCTATACAGGACTGCCCATCATGCATCTCAAAGGGGTCTGCAACTTCAGACCAAGTCAGGTGTCAGTTCCTAGTTTCATGATCTGTAAAGAAAAACACTTTGTGCAACACAAGGCCTCATCTTCACCTGCAGTTTAAAAAAAGGGGAACAAGGCTGCCAAAATACACTTGGAACTAACAAATCACCCTTGGGATGAACTAAAAACAAACTCGTGCTGATTAGTGAGAATCATCACCAAAAGATAAGTGTAAAATGGCCACATGAAAGAAAAGGTAAGTATGGAACTTTCAGAGTCTTATCCTTGTTAATGTTAATTTTTGTTTAAGTTCACTGTACTGTTGAAGTACACATTATCACCTGATCAGCCCATTCATTCAGAAAGAAGAATGGATATTGCTCACTAACAATAATAGTTGTCAAAAGTAAAAGGAGGTCAATTTCAGAACTGGCTTTTGGTTGGTAGTGTGACCACTTGAGCAATATGCTGGCTCAGGTTCAATGAAATTCAACTCTGACCCTCATTCTTCTGCACAAAAAAATCTGTTCAATTAATGAACCACCAGGACACAAATCAGGGCTTGACTGCCTCTCAAACAGCACTCCTGCAGTAAGATACTCTGAAGCGATTACTGCACTGTTTGCATGTCAACAAACCTATGGGGAATTCATTATTTCCATTTACCTAATGGGAGCTTTCCTGATTTCTGCAGATTGATCTTTCTTGGCACGCTGCAGCAAGGCAGAACAGGCTATAACATGCAAGTCTGGGGCACTGTAACATTTGAACTAATGTAAGTTAATACACTGGATAACAACATTATAACCTCACTGGTTAAACATTTATTGGTAGCTGAACATCTGTTTTCAAGAGCCAAGTGCGATTCAATGTGTTTTTGAAAAAGACTACTGCTTAGCAGTGAACAGTTTCAGGCCTTTCTATATTTATCTTGAGAACCCGTATTTGCTAATCTGAAAAATACATAGAAGCTTTTTCCTCTTTGACCCATGACGTTCTCCCTTTGCCATTACATACTAGAATTCGATTAGTTTTTAATTCTTTCTTGGGATATGGTTATCCCTAGTTAGGCCAGCATTTATTGAGCATCCCCAATTGCCCTTGGTGCTGAGCTGCCATCTTGAGGTGCAATCTCAGTGTCAAGAGGGAGGGAGTTCCAAGTCAGCCCGGCTCGTGGCTTGGAGCAGAACTTGCCGGTAGATAGTGCTTCCGTGTGTCTACTGCTCCTGACTTTTCAGAAGGTAGGGGTCACAGGTTTAGAAGGTACTTTCAAAGGAGGACCTGCAGATTCAACCTCAGCTGGGGCATTATACCCAGTTCTGGGTGCTGCACTTTTTTAAAAAAATGTAAAAGCATTAGAGAGAGTGCAGAAAAGATTCACAAGACTGGCCCTAGTGAGGAGGAATTTCGTTTACACAGAATATAACGAAGTTGACTGTTCTCCTTGGAGAAGGGTGAAAGGAGATTTGATGAAGTCATTCAAAAATCATAAGCAGTCTGGACAAAGATGAAATGGACAAGTCTCCCCTTTAGCAGAAGGATCAAGAATGAGAGGAGAACATGGTTCTTCTCTCAATGACGTGAGAATAAATATTTTTAAGTAGCAAGTAGTTAAAACAAGAATATGGCCTGACACTGTATAGTGGCAGCAGGTTTAATCATGACACTCAAGTAGGATTCGGATGACTATTTTGAAAGAAAGGGAGAAGGTAGGACAATAACAAAAGGTGAATTGTTTATTCGGACAGTTAGCACAGGCATGGTGGCAAAATAGCCTCCTTCATTACTGTAACAACTCTTTGATTTTGAGAACAGACCAACCCTTCAGAGCTTATCCAAGAACAACGAGTGTGATTCCAGACAAAAAGTACCCACAGGGCATTCCTCGTAGATTACCCATGGGGTTAACTTGTCAAAACTATAGCTATTTTGCTGTAAGCCTCTTCAAAGCAGCATGTTGAAGTTACAGACCAGTGCCACTGATGGAATGTAAACTTGTTGGGATGACATTGGAAAGGTAACTGCATCTGTTGGTGCTCAGCAAGTACAAAATTAGCAAAGGTTGTAATACATCCTCCATTGTTGGCAAGTTATATTTTGAATAGTAGAGATCAAGATATGAAAAAAAAGCACACGCACTTGAGTTGAACTTATCTAGGATGAGATTTAGTCATCAGAGACTGACATCAATAAAACAAGGGTTAAAACAAATTGAGCTATTATACAGCAAAAAAAAAAAGCTAATAATTTAATAAATCAAATGCCTTCCAGGAGCCTGAGAATTTTACAGACTATCTAATGATGCAATTGTTCTGGGATGGTTAACAAAATATGAATCGCAAGTATTTACCTTTGACATCATTCATACCAAGATCGGAAAACCCATCACTCAAGTCGATTAATGTTCCTTCGGATTTACACCGAGGGAGTCCACTTGTGTTGGTCGAACGAATTCTCTGGGCTGCCATAGTTCCTTTGGTTATCAGATTTAATGCTGCTTACAAAAGTCGTTCATTTGCAGCAGCTTTTATAATCCGATGACCAGCTCTTCAACTATTGTAGTCCCACTTGTTATGCCGATCATCTAGGAGATAAATCATGTGACACTGCATCAGTTCATCCTCTAAAAATGTGCCAAAATTTAGCAAATACATTCTTCCATGCAACCCAAGTTTGCACAGCAATTATTTCCATTTATAAACTGTTACAACAAAATGGAAATAGACCTAAGTATTCAACTTTCATCACTTCTCTTGAACATGTAAGAATTCAGTGAATTAAAAATGGATTTAAGAATATCACGACTAACTCAAACATGGCTGCTGTGATCACTTGACAAGCCCAGATAACCTGCATTGAATAAACAAAACGGGCTGAAGGGCTACCATTTTAATCAAGAGGCACGGAAACTCAGCAGGGTATCAAAAAATTTGCATGGCTTACTCAAACTTGCAAAACTCACATTGGAGATGAAAAGTCACCTTTGGAATGTTAAATGAAAGAGACATTGGAGCTAGACTTGGAATACAAAGGTACTCATACTGCAGCAACTTGCTTTGAGCAAAAACAGGGAAAAAGTGACATGGACTGACAACGGCAAGGATACTCGGAGCTCTTATTTCTCTCAATCTCCTTTAAGCCGAGTGACTAGCTGGTGAAAAGCAACTTGGAATAACAATAATTTACTGAGTACTCCAGCATATCTGCACCGTTGCCATTACACAGGAAACAAGAAAGCAGCTAAACAGGTTGACGTGTTTCGCTCTTGCACACAAAGACTCTTTAAAGAAAAATATAACTGTCTATACCTTCTTGACTGGACCACATACCTCTCCCCCCAACACCTTCTTTGTAAGCTCATTATTTGCGTTTGTGTGTTTGATGTTGCTTTTCTTGGTGGAGAGGGTTTAGTTATAGTAATAATACTATAAATATGAAAACATTGGAATTGGCCCTCCTTAATTGTTGATCTGGATAACTTTAGTTTAATTGAAGTGTGATAGCTACATGTTAAAAAGGAAAACCATTTGTTTAAAAAAAAAACATTGCGCATGACTGAGAGGGACTAAAAATTAATTTCAAAGAGTCACTGGACTGTGGAATTCTTTTCACCAGATACCAGTGGAGGCCAAGGTAAATATTGATTGATAAGAGAGTCAAAGCGTATAGCAGGCAGATAGGAAAGTAGAATTTAGGCCAGAATCAGATCAGTCATGATCTTATCACATGGAGAAGCTGATTTGAGGGGCCGAATGGCCTAGCCTGCACCCAATTTCTACGTTCATATGTGAACACAAGGTCTAAATGTATGGAAAAAGGTTCCAATTGGCTTTGTATCCAACAGGGTCTCCTCTGCTGTCAACAAAGCTAAATTAAAAGCATTAGATTTTAGAAAAGTAAATATTTCTATGCCACTTACCACATTCTCTATACATTGTGAAGCTCTTTCCAGCAGACAAAGTTCTTTATAATGTGTACTCGCTGGTAATATAAGAGGCAGATTTTGTGCACACAAATTTCCAACAAAACAAGCAGATCATCTGCTTCCAAGATGAGAGATTAATACTGCCCATGACAGCAAGGAGAACTTCCCTGTTCTTCTTCAAAGTGGTACCATAGGATTGACGTGACGGGACAACGGGCGACCTTCAGTTTAATAACCCACCTGAAGGATGGCACCTGGGACAGTGTAGTACTCCTACTGTACTGAATTGAAGCTGTCAGTCTTGAATTATTTTCTGGACTGGGACTTTTACTAAGTTTGATTTATGACCAGGTAGCAACATTCTACTCACTGAACTACAGCTAGGCAAGAAGGGCTACGTTATCCTAGAAGAGATCCAGTGGGATGGATCGACCGGAACCCCTGTTTCACTACATTAGATCTTTGATGGCTTGTGTTTTAAAACTCTACAGTGCATTTGTACTATTTTTTTTTGATGGGTGGCCAGGGAAGTTTGCTGTAGTCACCTCCAATTAGAGAACATAAGAACATAAGAACCAGGAGCAGGAGTAGGCCATCCGGCCCCTCGAGCCTGCCCCGCCATTCAGTAAGATCATGGCTGACCTTTTTGAGACTCAGCTCCACTTATCCGCCCACTCACCATAACCCTTAATTCCTTTACTGTTCAAAAATTTATCTAGCCTTGCCTTAAACACATTCAGTGAGGTAGCTTCAACCGCTTCACTGGGCAGGGAATTCCACAGATTCACAACCCTTTGGGTGAAGAAGTTCCTCCTGACCTCGGTCCTACATCTGCTTCCCTTTATTTTGAGGTGATGCCCTCTAGTCCTAGTTTCACCTGCTGGCGGAAACAACCTCCCTGCCTCCACCTTATCTATTCCCTTCATAATCTTATATGTTTCTATAAGATCTCCCCTCATTCTTCTGAATTCCAATGAGTATAATCCCAGTCTACTCAGTCTGTCCTCATAATCCAACCCTCTCAACTCTGGAATCAACAATCAAAGAAGGATTGAGTTGGAGTTATAGCAAGACAATGGGTCTGTGTGCTGACAGAGAGATTCTAGTCTGCTGCTGTAATTTGCTACAATTTGTCTTGGTGCAAATCTGAGGCAGTCAGGGTTTGAGTCCACTCTAGTGAAGCGTGTTCAAAACTTCAAGCAATACCAAGGGAGCACTGCACTGTCTGAGATGCCATGTTTATAAGATGGTAACCCACAGCTCTGCCCAGTAACCTCATTAATGTTATGGCACTATTCGAAGAATGGCAGGGGAGGCTTCCTCTAAGTCCTCACCAATATTCGTTCCTCAATCAACATACAAAACGTGGGCAATGTCACTTTGCTGCTTATAGGAGATTGACAATTTGTACAAAGTATCCATTTTTCCTACAGTGACAACATTTCCAAAGTACTTTATTGGCCTTAGGACTTTATTGGAAGTGTTGAGGAAATGCAATTCTTTCTTAACAGAAATCTTGGCACAAAGTGTTGTAGTAAGAGTTCCATTGACACCTCTTAGATGTTTTGCATCCCTGTGCGTGGCAGACTGAGTGTCGACTAAAGTTGTTCAATCCTTAGCCCCATATACTGCCAACGTTTTCTTAGAGAGCATCAAAAGTCATATTACACTGATTGCAGATAGACATCGCTTGTGAATCTTGTGAATAATGAGAAAAATTAAGGTGCAGCAATACCTCACTGGAGCAGTTTTGTGCCCTGACAAAACTGGCACATCACACTAAATTATTTAGACAATTGCAGTGATCGTCATACGTCAAGGTTTAGAAAATGCAACTGTCAGTTCCTACATGTCACACCTTTCACAGACGTTAATGCACGCACATTGATTCACATAGGTCATTGCTAAAGATCAACATACTCTAGAGGAAATTATGTAACATTAGGTAGATATTACATTACAGAGCAAAAGGTTATTTAGACTACCTGGTCAAAATAGGTGTGCATGCTTTACATGAGCCTCCTCCCCCATTTTTGTCTAACAGCACAACCTTTCTCTTTCATGATTTTCCGATAAATGCATTTCTCATTTTCATTTCCACTACTCCCTGTCGTGTGTATCCAAATCTAATCTCTGGTAAAGCAGTTCTCTCCACATTTCTTATTGGATTAATTACTGACATTTATTTGGAACCTCCTTAGTTTTTGCTTAGCTCAGTTGGCTAGATGGCTGGTTTGCTAATTGCAATATGGTTCAATTCCCACTCTAGCTGAGGTTACCATGAAGGTCAAATCTCTCAAGTTCTTCCCTTGCCCGAGGCATAGTGGCCCTCAGGTTAAACTCATCATCAGTCGTCTTTCTCTAAAGAGGGAGCAGGTCCAAGGTCCTCTAGGACTAGCAGAGCTTTACCCTAGCTTTGTTCCACCCACAGTTAGAAATAACTTCTGTGCAATCCATCAGTCCACACTGTTCACATTTTAATGATCTTTATCAGCTCACTCCTTGTCATGCTTTTCTTTAAAGAAAGGGGCCTTGCCCTATTCGTCCCTTCTACTCAGGTGTGTCATCCCTATGAATCTATTTTACATTTGCTCTAGCACCTCCTTGCTTTTTCTATAACAGGGAGACCCAGAACTACTCAAAGAGAGACCTAATCAAAATCCAGGACAGTTTATAAACATAACTTCTCCACTTTTCAATTCTCTCTCTCTCTAGAAATAAGAGATGACTTCCGTCCTATTCTGACGGATGTCCATTACCTCACACTTGTCTATACTGAAGCTCTTTTACTTATTACATCTCTGTTCTACCTGTGTACAAACATCATCCTGTATTTTGCTGCAACTTTCCTTAATTGCTACACCTCCTCAATTGGTGTCTGTTAAAGTTTGCAAACATGCTTCTGATTCCCATGTCCATGATCCCTGCATTATTTGCCACCATTTTCTAGTCTGAACACCTGAACACTTCGTGCGTTTCCCACTCAATGTATCTTAGAAGTACCCACTTGCGTGTGCAGTGTTAAGATAAAACAAGGTCATAAAAAGCATGATAATAAATACAAATCTTTTCTTTCTACTCATTCTTTACTTGTCCCTGACTCCAAAGTTCTAAGCTGAGTCTACTCATTGAAGGCCTTTTTGAAAGTATAGATATAGTACATCTTCTACATTACCATCAGTGGCTCTTGCTATTACTCTGCCAAAGATAATGTTAGTCAAGGATCACTTGTCCTTTTGAAATCTAATTTCACAAATCCTATTTTGAAATCCTACTCTGCAAATGTTTAACTTTGCAATTGACACCAGATTTCTTTTTGGGTGGTTTTGAAACTTAGGATAACTACAATAGGCTTTATTTAATAAAAGTGCAAAATTGACAGAATGCAATCAAATTTCAGTCTCGCTAAGTGAAAGGCACATTGGCAGGAAAAATAAGGATATCAAATCTTAGTTAGAAATTTATAATCAAAGTATGGGGAGAAGGGAACAGAATATTGTGTTGATAGTGTTGGATGAGGAAGAATGGGAGGAGGCTTGTGTTGAGTATTAATATCACAATGAATATAATGAATGGTTGTAATGAATAGACTGTTTCTGGGTCTCTCGTCCAATGTAGGAATATAAACACAGTTTTGAAATTTGTGCCGATTAGTCAAT